CCCCAGTGAACCCTCCGGCGAGCAAATCAGTAAAGGAAGAAGGAAATATAGAGAGAGAGAGATAGAAAAGCTTAACCTTCCTCTTGTTTTCGATTCTTGCTTATATCCTTTGGTAATCATTTCACTGTCCCTTGTGACGTGCCCCCTTCCGCCGAAAGCCTGTGCCGTAGCTTACCTTGTTCAGGGTGAGGGGGCTCTGTTCTGACGGGGAGGTGTTGTCGTAATAAATGCTGTGATGGGCTGCATTAATGGTGATGTGTTGTGGCAATAACTCTGCAGATCTTTGTCTGCTGATGTGGCCTGTGTTTCACCTGCCATGTGCCTGAATGTCATTGGCCCTCCATGCCCAGATGGCCTCCAGCTGTCCTGGGCTTTGCCAATCGGGTTATGCTATGGGTCCCAAGCGATGGGTTTGGGGTTGTTTGCTGTGGGCTGTAAGCCTTATGGGCCTATCCATGTCAAGCTACATTTGTAATCGTTCAGCAGTTACCTTTTGGGCATTATTAGAAAGTAAAAAAACGTGACAAAGATTTTGATTTATGTGCTTTATATAGATTTCTTAGATAAATTTGGATAAAATGAATTTTTCATATTGCTTTGACACCTGGTCACTAAAATTAAAGGTAAATTACCGTCTTAATAGTTGGACTCAATTCCCATTAAATCTTATTGAAAATAAATTTTAGTAAAATTGTGGTTAAAAATAATTTGTTGTGATAATTTTTTGCATATAATTTGACAATTAGTGACTTTTTTTGTCACTATTTTTATAAATTGTCATTAAAACTTACAATTAATGATATTTTTCTGTGATGAATTTTTCAAACTGTCGATAAAAGTTGAAAATTAGTGTTTTTTTTTTGTGACGATTTTTTAAAATTGTCGCTAAAACTTAGAATTAATGATTTTTCGTGACAATTTTTAAATTGTCGCTGAAAATTAATAATTAATGGCGTGTTTTAATAGTGTTTGAAAAAAAATGCTATTAATTCTCATAAGAACTATTGAATAATAAATCCACCTATTAAGATCTGGACATAATTCTCCCTAAAATTAAAATATCTCCCACTAGAAAAATCCTTTTTTAATGCAACGTTTCTTTTTGTTAGAAACTAGACCCAGTGTACATTTCTAATACTGTGTCAAAATATGGTTCAGTGCTGAAAATTGTTCCAATGTGGATTTTACTATCACGTTGGGCTGAAAATGGAAATCTTTAAAAATGAGAATGGTCCATTATTTCATGGGCTTCTAGTTTTCAAAAAATCTAAAATTTCTAAAATATTGATTTGTAACTATGTTTTAATTTTAAATAACAAATAACAATCTCAATTAAATAATCAAAAACAAATCGATACAACGATTTAACGTGAAAAAAATCACAAGCCAAATCTACAAAACAATCCACCAAGAAGATAAAAAGAAATTACACGTGTATCCTTAATTACCTAGCAAATCCACGCTCGAATTGAACCGATCCCAATGTGCCTCTTCCACTACCGTCTTTACCTCGAAATTGTTTTGCCTAACATTAAATCCACAATGCTGATGCCATATCCACGATGATGAGCTAATCTGAAATCCACCAAAATTTCAGGCCCAAATTCTTCGAAATTTACTGAAGAACAACTTTCTCTTTTGTGAATACAAGAAACAAACAAACCTCTTGATGATGTTGATATAAAATTCATGGATTCATTAATCACTCTTAAATTATCAAGGAAACACTTATAAAGCACCCTCAATATAAAATACTTTATTTTTTTTCTTCATCTTTGAAAATATGGACAACTTAAACCCTAAAACGAGCAAACAACGCACTTTATAGTAAACTGGATTGCGAAAATCATTTGAGCGCATACTTCACCGCTTGAGCGGTGTGAGTAAAGGCAGTGCAAAACATATAGGTTAACCGCTCGAATGCAACATTTGCCGCTCGAGCGGCAAAACTTGCTTCCCAAAAGTTCAAACACTCTACACAAATATTGAATAATCATTTTCTCCGCTCAAGCGCACAAATGATCGCTCAAGCGGTCAAACAACTTTGATCGCATTTTTACTTTTTGTTTCGGGGGCACTGCCCCTCGACCCTACCTGGGTACTTCCCCAGACCTGCCATGGCCTATACATAGTCAACGAAGTGACAAATATGAAAGTTTCAAGATCACAAACTTCTCTGCATAGGCATAATTCGAGTTAAACTAGCATCTAAACACTATCCTCAGTGAAACAAAAGAGCAAATAAACTTACAATTGAAAAAAGTTTTGTCAAACGAAATTACCAATTACAAAAACCTAACACATTTTTTTCCAGCTCCTCAACGTGTTACTCTCCACTAACCACACTCCATAGTGGTCATGCTTCGTTTTCTTCTGCTCCTCTCTTTTCGGCTTATATTTTCCTTGCAAGTTTCTTTGCACGTTTTAGTGCTCGCTTGTGCTAACGGCTTAAAATTATATTTGTAATATGAATTTGACTTGAGATTTGAAAAATAAAAAAGAAAATAAAAAGTTAAGTGAAAATATGAATGAATTCATGTTACACCTACAATTTTTTCTTTCCAAATCTATACCCCAAACACAATCTAAGGAAAATTAAAAACATTTATATTTTGTTATTCATCTTATTTTTTTTAGTTGTTTAGCTTTTTGTGTTGTTAGGATCATGGTTGATTGGTTTCTGTATGCACTTTCTCTATGCACTCCTTTTCTACTATATATGAACTCTGATTTTGATAATCTCCATTTCATTTCATGTATGTAATGGAGGGTTTTCTTTACAATCCAATAACTATAAAATATGAATGTAAATTTATAATTATTTTAAATTAAAAAAAATTATACTCATAATTAAATGATGTAAGGGAATATCTCCATTACAAATATGTAATGGAGAGTGTTAATGCTGTTCGCCCCAGTGAATGGATCAGACAGGTCTAAGCTCCTCCAGCCCGAGTCCGAATGATCAAGCCCACCAGATAACCTGCAGGCAAGTTCAACGGGGAACGGAGTAGTCCCCCAGCGAACTCTCCGACGAGCAAGTTAGGAAGAGAAACAGAGTATATGGGAGAGGATTCGAGATAGAGAACTTAACCTTTTTCTTGTCTACAACATTTGTTTATATCCTTTTGTCATCATTTCGTTGTCCTTTCCGACCTGCTCTCCTTGTCGAAAGCCTATGTTGTAGCTTACCTTGCTCAGGGTAAGGGGGTCCTGTTCCGACGGAGAGGTGTTGTCGTAATAAATGCTGTGATGGACTGCATTAATGGTGATGTGTAGTGGCAATAACTTTGCAGATCTTTGTGTCTGCTGATGTGGCTCGCCCTCCACCCGCCGCGTGTTTGAATGCTGTTGGTTCTTGGTGCCATATTGGATTCCAGCTGTTCCGGACTCCATCGACAGGGTTACGCATTGGGCCCCGAATGATGGGCTCTGGTTACTTATAGTGGTTCATGGCCTTTGTGGGCCTGTCCATATCAGTAGTCCCTCATTCCCGAGTGCGACTTCAGACCAGCGAAGGGAATATGTATGAGGAAGATGGGTCCAACCGGGATGGGCAGTCGAGTTGGTGAGGCGAGCGTAGGATTGTCCGACCGTGGGGAGGGTTGATCGCGCGAAGGCCGAGCGGAGGGCCTGCCGGCCGAGCTAAAGGGCCGACCGTAAAGAGGGGCGATCGTGCGAGAAGGCTGATCGTTGAGGGCAAGCCGACCGTGAGGGCAGGCCGATCGCGCGAGAAGGCCGGCCGTGAGGGCAGACCGACCCAAGGGGCCGACCGTGAGGACAGGCTGATTGCGCGAGAAGGTCAACCGTTGAGGGCAGGCCGACCGTGAGGACAGGCCGACCCAAGGGGTCGACCGTGAAGATAGACTGACCGCGCAAGAAGGCCGACCGTTGAGGGCAGGCCGACCGTGGGGAGGGCTGATCGTGTGAAGGACGGGCGGATTGGCGCGGGGCTCAAGGGGCGGCGTGGAAAGTGATGATTGGAAGTAGAAAAGACAGGGTAAGGGGGATGGACAGTGCATCGTGGCCGTACACGTGGCCACATCCCGCAAAAATGGGGGAAGATTAGGCGTTGGATCAGAAACGAAACGTTAGGTCATTGTGGGTGTTGAAGAGACGGTTTTGGCAGATGATTTTGAAAAGTTTTCAAACTGGCGAAAATTAATTGGGACCCTTGGAATACGGGCAAACCGTGGGCTTTTGGCATTATTCGATTCACCTACCTGTGTACGAAAAATCAAAATATTCCAAGTGTGAGTTCCTTTGTTGCTCACAATGTACCTCTGCAACACTTTTTCAATTTCCTTGTTCCTGCCGCCGAAGCGATTCGCAGACATACCACAGAAATGGCTGAAGAAGAGAGTGCAATTATCATGGTGGACCCGCTTGGAGATGATGATGCTGTGGAGCTAGCGGCGCAGTATAGGACAGAGAGGGTGGGGGAGCCGGTGGTACGATCCCACGGTTCCACCATGATAGCAACTCCAAAGCCAATCAGCCAGGTGGAACCAGATCATTGGCACACGAAGGCTGACAAATCCACGATTACTGAGGCGGAGTTGGAGGCTATCCGCGAAAAATACCAGATCCCAGGGGATGTGGAGTTGTTGCAACTGACAGCAACGGAAAGGCCGTCTGACGCTAGGCCCGGGAAGTTTTCCCTTTATGAGGAAGCTCTGAAGGGTGGACTGAGGTTACCACTGCCGCAAGTGGTGGTGGATGTGCTTAACCGTCTAGAGGTAGCACCGGGGCAGCTAATGCCTACCATATGGAAGATCCTGCTGGCCTGTGCCAGTGCATGGCCGAAGGCAAATGGAGGGGAGGCCATGACAGTAGACGAATTTTTTGCATGTTATAAGGCGTCGGGGTAGCAGAAGACGTGGGTCACCCTGCAGGCTGCAGTGGGGAAGGGGTTGGTGGCGGGTCTGCCGTCGTCAATCAAGGGGTAGCGGCCGCGATGGTTCTATGTGTCGGTCAATGGGGGGCTTGGAGTGCGCACTATGTGGAAAGTGCCCATCAGGTCTGTGGAGCTGAAACTGGGGATAGTTGCGGAGGGGAGGGTGAGGAGGGTGAAGGAGTGGAGGGAGAGAGAAAAGGCTAAATGGGATGAGCTCGTTCAGCCGTCGGCATTGTTTGAGGCGGGGTTGGGGCCAAAGCCAAGTAGTGGGGATCTCGACCGAGCAGAGTTGGAGGCGAGGAGAAGGGTGCAGGAGGCAGAGGATCAGGCCATTCTTGCCAAAGCCCAGCAATTCAAAGAGTCCCAGGCCGACCGGCCACCAAAACCTGTTGCGAAGGAGCGGATTCGACCTCGCCCCAAACCCTTGGGAGAGAAAAACTTGGGCGATTTTGTGCCGCGGCCGCCCCCAGCAGACCCTTTGAAGGAGAGGTCGTTGAAGGAGATGGAGGCATTGGGCGTGGGAAAGAAGAAGAAGAGAGTGAGTCAGAGTGAGGAAGTGTCTGCCCAGAAGGGGAGGAGGGAGATGAGTGTGAAAAAAACCAGTGCAGTCGTGGGGTCTGAAGGGGGAGAAGGGGAGGGGGCCCCAGGAAGGGTAGGTGGCCCAGAAGTGGTGGATATTGCCTTAGAGGTCACAAAGGTCGTCCCCGAAAGGCAAGTGGAGGATGAGGCTGTTGGCCCTGGGCGAAGGAGGGAGGGACAGCCTCAGGGGGGTCTTGTACCGCAAGAAGAAGGAGTTGGTGAGACCACGGCGATCTACCATGCTCGTGTGGTGGCGGGGCGGCTGGAGGGAGAAGAAGGCCCAGCCAGAGCAGGGGCAGATCGCCTTGTAGGGACTGTAGAAGAGGCAGCCTTGCGCTCGGCCTCCAGATTCAACGAGGCTGAGCTGCTAAGGGGATTATACTCCGCTCAAATGGAGGTAACCACCTTAGCAGGGGCCCTGCTGAGGAAGGCGGGGGCTGCCAAACTCAAGGCAGATGAGGTCAAGGCCCAGCTTGTAAAGTTAAAGGAGAAGAGTGCGAGTTGGGAGAGTGCCCACATTGAGCTACAAACGGTTAAGGCGGAGGTGGAGGACACACGCTGCCAGGTTGTGTCGCTCGAGTTCCAACTTGCTGGTGAGCAGAAGAAGTTGGACGAGGCCCAAAGAGCCTACGTCGTCGCGGTTGAGCGACATGAAGAGGCTATGAGCAATAATGAGGAGCTGGTCAGGCAAAAGGACGAGGCGGATAGTAGAGTGGGCGATCTCCAGAGGGAACTGGAGGGCGAGCGCGCCAAGGCAGGGGAGGAGAAAGGGAGACTCCAGAGGGAGTTGGAAGCAGCGAGAGTGCATGTGGCGGCGGAAAAGGAGAGCCTGAAGAAGGAGTTAGAGGCAGAAAAGGCGAAGGCGGCGTCGGAAAGGGCGGCCCTGCAGAAAGAGCTGGACGAAGAGAGGGCAAGGGCAGCTTCTAAAAGGGCGGCCTATCCCGATCTGTGCATCGCAGTAGTGGAGCAATTCAAAGGGTCTGTCGAATTCCAGACGGCGGTTGATGCCGTGGTCGCGAGTAGCCTGGCTAGGCAGGAATCTGGGGGGGCGGGCCCATCGAGGACGACTGCTGGAGGCAGAACTGAAGCAGAAGTTATTGAGAGCTTCCAGCAGTCGAACTTTTATAAGCACGAAATGGCTGAGTACTGGGATAGTGGCTAGAAGATGTTCAAATGTAGAGCTGAAGATCTGTTCCCAAACTTAGACCTTAGTAGTGTAACAATCGGCGAAAACGATGTGGCATAAACCCCCCTGGATGAAGGCATTGAAGAAGAAGACCTCCTCTCCAGCGAGGAGGAGTAACTGGGGCGGAAGGAGAAAAAGATAGTTTGTTGGTTTGTTGTTTTTGTTTGTTTGTTTTTTTTTTTGTTTTGTTTTAATTGCTGTAATGAACTTTTGTGGAAAGTTGTGAACGAATAAAATTTCAGTTGTGTTTGTTATTTGAATATTTCTGCTTGTGGATCTTAGATAAATGAGGCATGGGCAAAGTGTTTGTAGAACTCCTCGTTAATAAGAGTGAAATTGAAGCTTGTAATAAGGATTCAATGCAGAGTGGAATTTAAAGTTTAATAAAATGATAGGCCTGAGAAAGTTAAATGTAATAAAATGATAAGAACGTCTATGGAATTTGGACTAAGCAAAGAGCGGTGTGAAGACGGGGACCTGGAATTGTGACTAAGTGTGTTAGTGAATTCCACAGGTATGAAGTTTTGAATGGGTGGTTTGGACCCAGCCCTATGTGTTAAGTCTAGACGAGTGTTTCACGCTCAGTCTGGATGGAGCATCTAGTGCGCGGTCCGGCAGGGGGTGTGAACGGTCGGGCTGCCCGAGGAGGCTCATGCTCAGTCCGGCTGAGGCTTTTAGTGCTCAGTCTGGCTGAGGCTTTTAGTGCTTTGTCTGGTAGAGGCTTTAAGTGCTCAGTCTGGCTGAGGCTTTAGGTGCTCTGTCTGGCTGAGGCTTTTAGTGCTCAGTCTAGTTGAGGCTTTTAGTGCTCGGTCTGGCTGAGGCTTTTAATGGTCTATCTGGCAGAGGCTTTAAGTGCTCAATCTGGCTGAGGCTTTAAGTGCTCTGTCTGGCAGAGGCTTTTAGTGCTCGGTCTGGCTGAGGCTTTTAGTGCTCTGTCTAGCAGAGGCTTTAAGTGCTCAGTCTGGCTGAGGCTTTAAGTGCTCTGTCTGGCAGAGACTTTTAGTGCTCAGTCTGGCTGAGGCTTTTAGTGCTCTATCTGGCAGAGGCTTTTAGTGCTCGGTCTGGCAGAGGCTTTTAGTGCTCGGTCTGGCTGAGGCTTTTAGTGCTCTGTCTGGCAGAGGCTTTTAGTGCTCTGTCTGGCAGAGGCTTTAAGTGCTCTGTCTGGCTGAGGCTTTAAGTGCTCTGTCTGGCAGAGGCTTTTAGTGCTCGGTCTGGCTGAGACTTTTTGTGCTCTGTCTGGCAGAGGCTTTTAATACTGCAAATAAGAATGTTACTGAGACAACATATAGATAATTGAGATATATAATCAAGAAGTTACATTGCGTGGGGGAATATCAAGAATGTGTGAATTTCTCGAAAAGAAAATGCAATAACTGAGCAATACAAAAATAGGAGCTTATTGAAAGTAGCGTTTAAGGTGTTCGGCGTTCCATGGGTGGGGGAGGTCTCGACCTTCCATGTCCTGAAGTCGGTAAGTGCCTGGTCGGGGTCGGGCTTTCACAATGTAGGGTCCCTCCCACTTGGCTGCCAATTTACCCTCGGCTAGATTTTTGGTAGTGAGAGTTGTTTCTCTCAAGACAAGATCCCCTATAGCTAACTCCCTTGGTCGGACCTTGCGGTTGTAGTGTGTTCTCATTTTCTGTTGGTATGAGGCCAAGCGGACAACGGTGGTCTCTCTGAGTTCTTCAATTAGGTCGAGGTCAGCCCGACGGAGTTCTTCGATGAGTGCTGGATCCGGATGTGAAACCCTGGGAGTAGGCAAACCGACTTCTACTAGGATAACCGCCTCAGCGCCGTATGTTAAGCTGAAAGGGGTCTCCCCAGTGGGCGTCCGAGCTGTAGTGCGATAAGCCCATAGTACATTCGGTAGCTCCTCAGCCCAAAGTCCCTTAGCAGCTTCTAGCTTAGTTTTGATTATCTTCAAGAGAGAGCGGTTGGTGACCTCGACTTGGCCATTGGCTTGGAGATGACCAGGGGATGAGAAATAAGGTTGAATCTGGAGGTCGGCGCAGAACTTCCTATACTTGGCGTTGTCAAATTGTTTACCGTTGTCGGAGATGATGGCCTGAGGAATGTCGAACCTGCAAACGATCGACTGCCAGATGAACTTGGTTGTGTTCCGCTTGGTAATGGTGGCAAGGGGTTCTGCCTCTACCCACTTGGTGAAGTAATTAATGGTGACGATCGCGAACTTGGTCTGGCCTCGGCCAGTAGGGAGTGGTCCGACCAAGTCGATCCCCCATTTGGCGAACGGATAAGGGCTGCAAAGTGTAATCAACTCTGTAGGGGGTGCATGGGGGATGTTGGCAAAACGCTGACACTTATCACATTTGAGCACGAAATCTGTCGCATCTCGATTAAGGGTGGGCCAGAAATAACCGGTACGGAGTATCTTGTGGGCTAGAGACTTACGGCCTGAGTGATTGCCGCAGATGCCCTCATGAATTTCTTGCATCACATAAGTTGCTTGAGTCGGATTGAGGCACCGCAGATAGGGGCGTGAGAAATCACGTTTGTACAAAATGCCGTCGACGAGGATGTAATTGGACGATCGTGCCCTGACTTTGGCGGCGTGCTGGTGGTCATTCGGAAGTTCCCCTGCTATCAGAAATCGAAGGATGTCTGACGCCCAAGGGATGGGCTCATTTTGGAGGAATTGTACTTCATGCGGGTCGAGGAAAATGACGGGGTGAGATAGGTATTCGAGACAGACGCCATTACTGAGGGCGGACTGGTCTGCGGAAGCCAGTTAGGCCATCTCATCTGCCTTAGAATTCTCTGCCCGGGGAATGTGCCTGATCTGGAAGGTGTTCAAAAGGCGAACCAGGGGAAGTGCAAGATCCTTGTAAGTCCGCATTGTGCCTTCCTTGGCGTCGAATTCGCCCGTGATCTGCCCGACGATGAGCTGAGAGTCGCTGAGCACTCGGATGTGGTTGACACCAATGTCCTTGGCTAGGCGAAGGCCTGCTATCAGTGCCTCATATTTGGCCTCGTTGTTACTGGCCTCAAATAAGAAACGGAGTGCACATTTGAAATAACCACCCTCAGGGCTGGTGAGAATGAGGCCAGCCCCGCTACCTTGCCTGCGGGATGATCCGTCGACATTGAGAGTCCAAGAGTGAGGGTCTTCTGGCTCGATGGGAGCTGGCAGGGGTAGAGGGGCTGTGGTTAGGGTAGGATTAGTGAATTCCAAGATGAAGTCGGCGATAGCCTGTCCCTTAATTACTGTTCGAGGGCGGTAAGAGATGTCAAACTGGCTGAGTTCCACAGACCACTGCATAAGTCTGCCGGAAAGTTCTAGTTGCTGCATGACCTTCTTCAAGGGTTGGTCGGTGAGGACCACTATGGAATGGGCTTGGAAGTAAGGACAGAGTCGTCTAGAGGCCGTGACCAAGGCTAAGGATAATTTTTCTAACAGGGGGTAATTCTGTTCTGCTCCCCTGAGAGCCCGACTGATGTAGTAGACCGGTCGTTGGACAGAGTCGTCTTCCCTAATAAGAGCTGCACTGACTGCGGTGCTTGAGACGGCCAAATAGAGGAAGAGGGACTCGCCCGTGATCGCTTGTGAAATGAGGGGTGGATTGGCCATACACTGCTTTAACTGTTGGAAAGCCTCTTCAGATTCAGTTGTCCATTCAAAAGTTTGCCGAAGGACCTTGAAGAACGGTAGGCACTTATCTATCGCACGAGAAATGAAACGGTTGAGGGCTGCAACTCGGCCAGTGAGTCTTTGGACCTCCTTGATCGTCCTGGGAGACTGCATCTCAATCAAGGCCTTGATCTTTTCAGGGTTAGCGTCAATGCCCCGCTGACTGACCATAAAACCCAGGAACTTCCCAGATCCTACGCCGAAGGCGCATTTCTTTGGGTTGAGCTTCATTTGGTACTTGCGTAGCGTGGCGAAGGTCTCCCGCAGGTCGGTCAGGTGATCAGTGGAGAGTTTGCTCTTAACTAGCATGTCGTCGACGTATACTTCCATATTCCGACCTATTTGGTGATGGAAGACGGCATTGACCAACCGTTGGTAGGTGGCCCCAGCGTTCTTCAATCCGAATGGCATTACTTGGTAATGGTAGGTACCTCAGTCGGTGATGAAGGATGTATGTTCCCGATCGGACGGGTGCATGAGAATTTGGTTGTAGCCGGAAAAAGCATCCATGAAGCTGAGCATTTGATGACCGGCCATGGCATCGACTAGCAGATCTATGCGGGACAGAGGATAGCTGTCTTTGGGGCAAGCTCGGTTCAGGTCAGAGTGATCGACACAAAGTCGCCATTTGCCATTGTTCTTGCGGACGAGGACCACGTTTGACAGCCATTTAGGGTAGTCGACATTTTTGATGAATTGGGCCTCAAGGAGTTTGTCGACCTCTGCGGCTATAAGAGTATTGCGCTTCGGATGAAAGATGCGTTGCTTTTGGCGGTACGGTGGGAAATAAGGTTGAACGCTGAGACGATGAGTTATAAAAGAAGGGTCGATGCCTAGCATATCTGAATGAGTCCAGGCGAATACATCATTGTGCTCGGTCAGAAGTGCAGTAAGGTCGGCCTTGGCTTGGGGGGATAGCTGGCTGCCGATCTTAGTAGTTTTCATTGGGTTTATGGGATCGATGGGAATCTCAACGAGCTCTTCCACCGGTTCGCCCTTGACCAGTTCATCCTCGTCTCGGGCGTCAAGTCCTTCAATGATCATGGCCTCCTTCAACTTGACTTCCTTGAGTGAGGCGACATAACATTCCTTGGCGATGGTCTGCTCTCCCCGTACTGTACCGACCCCCTGGTCGGTGGAGAGCTTTATGGCGAGGTGATCGGTTGAAGTGATAGCTTAGAAAGCGTTGAGGGCGGTACGACCGAGGATGATGTTGTAGGCAGAGGGACAGTCGACCACAAGGAAGGTGAGTAACTTGGTAGTCTGCCGTGGATATTCGCCAATAGTGATGGGGAGGTCAACGGAGCCGATGGAGGTCACCCGGTCGCCAGTGAAACCGACCAAGGGGGTTTGGAGAGGGGACCTTTCCTCTCCAATTTTGAGCTGGCGGAAGCAACTGAGGAATATGATGTCAGACGAACTACCGTTGTCGATGAGAACCCGCCTGACCTTATAGTTGAAGAGAATGGCAGAAATGACGAGGGGGTCATCATGAGGATAACGGATGCCTATACAATCGGCGTTCGTGAAGGTGATGGGCTCTGTCCACTTCTTGGGCTACTTGGAAGGTCGATCTACCGTGTCCACTGCTTTGTCCGAACCTTGCCTTATTTTCCTGAGCTCTGCTTTCTGAGCGGAGCGGGACGGTCCGCTGCAAGCAAGGCCACCAGAAATGACTCGGATTTCACCAACTGGTGGAGGGGGGTTACCTGGGGGCCGAGGCTATTGTGGGAGGCGGTCATGGCTGAAGGGGTCAGCCCGACTGTGGTTCAGTCAGTTACCGGCGGAAAGCCCGACACATGATCTCGTCGGGGAAGGTATGAAGGATCATGAGTGTACGATAGGTCTCCAGATGGTCGACTGGATCTGTTGTACCATCGAAGGAGTCAATGGTGGGCATCTTGAATTTGGAGGGCAAAGGTTTGTCCCGAATGGAGACAACAAATGGTGAATTTGCCGTGGTAGAGGGTTTATTCTGAATGTTCTGGATGAGTCCTTGGAGTTGGAGCTTCATTGCTCGAAGCTCAACGTCCCAGAGTGGAACGTGGTCCCCCTGGTCAGTCAGTAGAGGTTGGACGCTGCTGGCCTCCCCTTCAGGGGCTGGTGCTACGACCGACGGGTGTGGGGGTGGTGGTGGCAGATTTATGTGTGGGTGGGGAGGTTGCAAACCTTCCAGGTTGGGTGGATGAGGTTGGGCGCAGTATGGCTCGGGGGTCTTTCTCGGTTGGGGGGAATATCTGGAGGTGGTGGAGGAGGAATCGGAAGGTTCCTTTGGAGTAAGGCATTTATCAAGGCCTGGTTTTGTTCGGCCATGTGGTTGATGCTGTTGGTAAGCTCGATAAAGTACTGTGGTGGGTTATTTGGATTGGGGAGGTTGTTTTGATGGTCGGTAACATTATTGTGAGAAGCCATGGATCTAGTCGTGACCATGCACTTTGACGAGTAGGAGAGAGAGGTTGTTGGAACGGGGCCTTCGGCGACAGTGATCACAACTGGTGTGCGGAGCAAAGCGTTCCCACAGACGACGCTAACTGTTAATGCTGTTCGCCCCAGTGAATGGATCAGACAGGTCTAAGCTCCTCCAGCCCGAGTCCAAATGATCAAGCCCACTAGATAACCTGCAAGTAAGTTCAACGGGGGAACGGAGTAGTCCCCCAGCGAACTCTCCGACGAGCAAGTTAGGAAGAGAAGCAGAGTATATGGGAGAGGATTCGAGATAGAGAACTTAACCTTTTTCTTGTCTACAACATTTGCTTATATCCTTTTGTCATCATTTTGTTGTCCCTTCCGACCTGCTCTCCTTACCGAAAGCCTATGCTGTAGCTTACCTTGCTCAGGGTAAGGGGGTCCTGTTTCGACGGAGAGGTGTTGTCGTAATAAATGCTGTGATGGACTACATTAATGGTGATGTGTAGTGGTAATAACTTTGCAGATCTTTGTCTGCTGATGTGGCTCGTCCTCCACCCGCTGCGTGTCTGAATGCTGTTGGTTCTTGGTGTCATATTGGATTCCAGCTGTTCCGGACTCCATCGGCAGGGTTATGCATTGCGCCCCGAATGATGGGCTCTGGTTATTTATAGTGGTTCATGGCCTTTGTGGGCATGTCCATGTCAGAGAGAATCACAGTCTGAAATTATGTCTCTTTGTCAAAAAAACAAAAAAAAAGTCTCTACTATAATGATATTTCACATAGGTAGATGAACTGATATTTTGGGTAAAAATACTCATGCCACACCTTGAATTTTTTTTTTTTTCTTTTCTTTTCTTTTCGTAAAAGAATAATTTTTTTTAAAAACTTTTTTGCTAACAATTTTACTGAGGTTTTGACTAAATCAGTTTCATGCCAAACGGATCCTTAATGACTGTAAGCTTGGTACATGTGCGGAAATTCGGAATATTCCTAATTATGTATAAAACGCACACGCACTAGATTTTAACGGGACTCCACTAGAAACCCTAGAGAGCTATCGAATCTCGCTACAACAGACGAAACACAGATCTCTATCGCCGCCTGTAAGTTCTTCCTCTTCAGATTTGTGAAAGTTTTACTATTCAATATATATTAGTTTTAGTTGAGCAATTTGTATAAAAATCTAACTTAGACATCAAATGATGATGATCGCTAATTTCAGTTGCCAAATCATAGTGACTGTGCTGCCGCTTGTGGTTTGTGTTGGATAGATCGGTGTTGATGTGATGAACACTTAAAAAAACCCGGGTCACACATATATGTATATATAGCTTTCTTAATCATTATATATATATATATATATGGAAAATGTTTGAGGCCGTATAAACCCTCTTCTAATTTTGACCCAAAAGGACATGAATGTCATGGGTCAATTTTGATTTGTCACAAAGCATCTCCAACCCTTCACCAATTTTTTTCCATTTAATTTGATTTTCAATTTGAGTATAAATTTTGATTTGATATGAACTACTCCAATCCTTTCATTCATCAGATTTTCATCATTTTTTTAGGCTCTCTTCTTATTCCAAATTTCCATTTTTATCAAATTTGATGGGGGAAATAAATCATCTCCAATGGTTCTTCTTTTTAAATTTTTATCAAATTTGATTTGATGAAGGATTTGATGAGTTCTCAATTTGATGAAAAAAAATAACTCTCCCTTAATTTAATGAAGCTTTGATGAAAGGATTGGGGATGATTTTTGAATATTTTTTCACAAAATTTAAATTTGATGAAAGAAAGGGTGAAGGATTGGAGATGCTCCTTAGCTACCGAATTTAAAATTTGTGAGGCACTAGCATTTCTTATTTATATATGAAATTGGAGAAGAAGGATCTAATGACTATATAGGAGCTAAGTGCATATTCTATAACATTGGAAGAATGTTTTGTTGAGATTCACAATTTCTCACTATGAAAGTCTTGTGATTTTTGTGAGACGTAGTTTGTGGAAAAACTTATCCTTGTAGGAAATGTAAAAGATACAGGTTCTACAATTTTCTTGTTAACTGAACATTGATATGTTACACGGAAACTTAAATTCCCCGTCTTTTACTTTGATTTCCCAACTTTTAATGGGCCTAAAATGGATTTGAGAGAAAATCTTTCCAAAAGATGTTACAGTGGACCCACATTTTCCAGTAACAATTGAACACATGTACACTCGGGTAAAGAAAAATGGTTTATTTTCCATATGTTTTCGTTTCTTGCCAATTGAATATGTCAGGAAGGAAGGTGTTCCCTAGATCCAACATAGGTTTCTGTGTAGGGTTGTATTTCATTGGTCATAGTTGAAGCATTTGTGAAGCTTGGGGATTATCTCATATGTAAGTGTTGGGTGCCTCTGATAGCCGCATTTGTGTGGGTCTGTTGGTAGAAACTTATATCTGCTTTCTTATATGGTTGTAGAAAGAAACTAAGTCATTACTTTGCAATGGCGGTCACATTCTCCTGTGTCAACTCACAATCTGGCCTCAAGAAGCTCGATGAGTACCTCCTAGCACGGAGTTACATGACAGGGTGAGTTTCATTTTGTTGCTATATATCTTTCAGAAATATTGACAATATTTATTTTTGTTTTTGTTTTTGTGTTTTGGCTGTGAGCATGAATCTTGGATGGAGTTTTGTATTTATTTTGCTTTTAATTCCACCTCTCAGGTACCAAGCCTCAAAGGATGATATCACTGTGCACACAGCTCTTTCAAAACCTCCATCATCTGAATATGTGAATGCATCTCGGTGGTACAACCACATCGAAGCCCTTCTGAGAATTTCGTAAGTTCTTACCAATTATTTGGCGCTATTATTGTTTGAGTACATTGGGAGGTTTTATTGTTGGGATACATAACTAAGGTTTAAGTGAATATTTCTGTTCTTTTTAATTTTTATTTTCTTTGTGCTGTTTATCAAATTGTCAATTACTGTTCTTCAGTGGTGTTTCTGGGGAAGGTTGCGGTGTCACCATAGAGGGTTCTGCTCCTGTCACTGAGGCTGTTGCAACTCCTCCTGTAGCCAACACCAAGGTAAGTTTATATATTGCCTGTTGTAAATTTGTTTCTAGTTTACTGATTTTAATGGGTTTTTATTATATTTATATTTTTTTTAGTGTTGGTTACTTGGTTGGCACATTTTTCTTAAATTCTTGGTTGCAAACTGTTTCTTTTAGTCAATTTTGATCACTAGGGTGTCACGATATCTCTGGACACTTGGACTACTTTGAACTTCTAAATAATTAGATTTTTCTGTTTTAATTTTATTTTAAAAGCTTGTTATTGATTGTTTTGAAATGTGGCTATCCTGTTCATCAATATGAAACATGTGTTTCAGGCTTCAGCTGCTGAGGATGAAGATGATGATGATGTGGATCTGTTGTGAGTTTTGCTCTCTTATATTTTATACATAGGCATGAGAGTTTCTTATTTTTCATTCATTTTATGGTTATCAGTACCAATAGTTGAATATTTTGTTTTGATAATATTAGTGACTTGTACATAGGGTCCTCCTTGTGGCATTTTCTTAATGAGAATACTTAGCATAGCTATGTATCCATTCTATAAAGTTACCTGGCATAGCTATGTATGTATGTGATCACGACGCTTGTCAATATCTATTAGTTATCCAGCGTAGCTATGTATCCATGTGATCACGAACGATGCTTGTTAATTTTTATAAGTTGCCTCAACCCTTGGGGTAGGTTGACACCTGCTATACATTTTGGATTATATGTCTGTTACTTTTAGATCATTTTGATCTACACCTGTTCCTGTTTTTAACAAGTGAATGTGATTTTCTCGTGATTTTATTCACAGCTGGAAAGTCCTCCATTCTCATGGACATTAAGCCGTGGGATGATGAGACAGACATGAAAAAGCTGGAGGAAGCTGTTAGAAGCATCCAAATTGAAGGATTGTTTTGGGGAGCTTGTAAGTTTTTTTTCTTGATTTTGAAATGTCTTTTTATTGGTGCAAATGGACCAATGTTTAAATTTTATTAAATTCAATAACAATCCATTTAATATTAAAGTTATATTTTGGAAAATTATTGATGAGCTTGTGGTGTTGCAGCCAAACTTGTGCCTGTTGGGTACGGTATTAAGAAATTGCAGATTCTGCTTTCCATTGTGGATGACTTAGTGTCGGTTGACACTCTCATTGAGGACACTCTCACAGCTGAACCAGTGAATGAGTACGTCCAGAGTTGTGATATCGTTGCCTTCAACAAAATATGTAAGTTTAATAGCAGAACTTTTTATTGCGTCTTGATATTTTATGCCATATATATATATATATATATATTACATGTTTTGCGCATATTTACTTTTTTATCTTTCTTAATATTGGATGATTTTTGTTGACAGAATTTCAAGATTTTTTTGGCGGCTTTGGAATGGGTGCAGTAGAGGTTTCGCTGCTAAATTTTGCTATTTTGCTACATGTGTCATTTGGATTTTGGCATGAGTTTAAATTAGTTGTACTGTTGCAATGACCTTATCATTCTTCATTTGTATTTGGAATGAGGAATCATACTATTTACTTTGAAATTGTGGTTTTATTAGTCAGTAAACGATAATCAGCAAAGAGTGTGCTTGTCATTTTATTATATTTTATATATTCTCTGATAGTTTAAAAAAAGAAAAGGATAGTTAAAAAAAAATTTCGCTGCTAAATTTTGCTATTTTGCTACATGTGTCATTTGGATTTTGGCAATGAGTTTAAATTAGTTGTACTGTTGCAATGACTTCATCATTCTTCATTTGTATTTGGAATGAGGAATCATACTATTTACTTTGAAATTGTGGTTTTATTAGTCAGTAAACGATAATCAGCAAAGAGTGTGCTTGTCATTTTATTATATTTTATATATTCTCTGATAGTTTAAAAAAAGAAAAGGATAGTTAAAAAAAAAAAGTAGAAGGAATAATCTGAAGTTTGATAGCCGAATGCATTCTGTTTTTCTCTTTAATTGTGGTGTTATATGAGGAGGTGATAATAAACCAAATGAAAACATTAGCTGCTGTTCAATTCTGAATTTCATGGAATGAAATTTCACATTGATCCTTTTCATATCCATATTTAGGAAACACATTTGGTTTGATATGCACAAAAGCATTGAATAAAAGAGAGATTTTCTCCCTATAATGAAGAAATTTTCTTTATGAAATAAAGGTGAGAGTTTTCCATGAAATAAAGAATTATTGTTATTTTTTATTGTCTATTAATTTTAAAATAGAAATAAACGTAGAAAAGTTGAAAGAATGATTTGATCATATTACACTGAATATGACTTAATGGATACTTCAAAGAAATGAGTTAGATCAAATATAAATTTTATGAATGAAATTTACTAAAAATACTCACTAAATATTTTGTAATGACAAACATTGTTTATGGATTGCCATGCCAATAAGTCTCTCATAACATTCACCCAAAAAAAGTCTCTCGTAAGGAAAATTCATGCGTAAATAGTTAGCCAAATTGTCATTCAACCAACGGCCCTTCCATGTGGGGAAAAATAAACTAAACCAAACACTATAAACTTCTCTTCTTTTTTTTTAAATCTTTCTTCACTAATTTATAATTTTACGCAAATTTCTTTCATTCTCAGATCTCGTGTTGGTGAGTAAGACATAATTTAAAATTTTAGTATTTTTATCTTTGTATAGGGTTGTAAATGAGTTAGGTCGAGTTTTAAAGTGTTCAATTTTGGCTTAAAAATTATCCAGCTCAAGTTTAGCTTGTCACATTATAATAATACTCAAGCTCGGTTAGAAGCTTCATAATGAAAAAAAGTTTGATTTGATAATCAAACTAGTTGGCTCGTTAAATATTATTCTATATAACAATATGCATATGTAACACATTTTTTATTCTTTAATTATTTAAACTTACTACTATTATAAAAGTGTGAAAAGCTCGTCATGTTTTTTTATTTTTTTTTAAATTTTAATTTTATCTTTTCAAATCTACTATATATTTTAAAAGTCATGAAGAGTCATATATAAACCAACTATATCTTTATTTTTAGAATTGAACTCTTAAAAACGATATAGTTATTTTCAAGAGTCCTATATAAATATAAACAAATCGTCTCATTTCTTATTAAAAAAAAAAGGATAAATTATGCAAATAGTCCATGTACTTTACACGATGTGTCAATTTGGTCCCTGTAGTTTCAATTTACTCGATTTTATCCCCTTAATTTAACGGATTGTATTATTTTAATCCAATAAATAACGGTTGTTAAATTAATTTAACGAAAGATCAAATAACGTGTCAATTCGGTCTTTGTAGTTTCAATTTTCTCGACTTTGACCGGGACTAAATTGACACATTGTGAAAAATACAGAGATCAAATTGACATATTGTTTGACTTTTCGTTAAATTAACTTAACGACCGTTATTTATTGGACTAAAATAACACAATCCGTTAAATTAAGGGGCAAAATCGAGCAAATTGAAACTACATGGACCAAATAGACACATCATATAAAGTACATGGACTATATGCATATTTTTCCCAAAAAAAATCGTCTCTCTATTTTTTACATTAATGATGATTAAAAAAATAATAATAATTACTTCTTCTTATTTCTTATGTTTGCTTCTATACTGATCTACATAATATTTACAATTGTTTATCATGGATAAAATCACTATCAATAATTTTGGTTGAATCTTAAAGTCATATGCATTGGTTTAAATCTAAACATAAGAAAGCGTATATGTTTTTAAAACAAATATTTATGTTGCATCTCAAAAATTTATAGGTTATCTTCATACACTTTCTTTTTGTTTAAATTATATTTTATGAACTATAATATTTTACATGGTACTTTAATAATCAAGATATACTGTCAAAATTTTAAATAAGAACCACTTTCATTGGTTTTATTTTTTAAATTTATTTTTCAGTTTTTAGTTTTCATATTTTCTCAGTTTTGGTGATTAAGGATACTGAAATTTCTTCAGATTTTATATTTAAATTATACTTTTACATAAAAATCTAATATCTAATAATCTAAATAGAATTAAAAAGTAAAATATTGCTAAAAAGTTTATAAATTCAAATATGTACTGATTTTTTATTATTGTATATTTTTTGTTATTATTATTATTATTATTTAGGAAAATTTACCCATAAATTCTAGTTTCTGAAAAGTTGAATCATTTAGTCTTAAAAGTTTTCTTATGCTCCATTTAGTCCCATTTATACATCATCATGATGTTCATGATGTAAATGAATCTGATGTTTCATTCTATAATTTCAAAATTTATTGAAATCTGATGAACATTAGATGTGTGAAATCTAATGTTTGAAACATTCATCCTATAATTTCAAACATTATTGAAATCTGATAAACATTAGATGTTTGAAATCTAATGTTCGAAACATTAATCTGATGTTTGAAACATTGTAATGGGACCTTTCAGTCTATAAGAAAACTTTTAGGACTAAACTGTGTATAAGTTATTAATTTGGGATTTATTGGTGCATCCCCCTATTATTTAATATTAATATTTTTTTTCCAGAAAGAATACACAACAAATTATTTTTTAAGTGCATTTAGATTAAGAAAATATAAATCTAAAAGTAAAATTAAAAATTAAAAAATTATTCAATTAAGTGAATTTAAAAAAATAAATAAAAGGGTTATTAAAAAAATTAGTGTCAAAGACCGAAAAAAAAATGAAAACTAAAAAATTCAAACTAAAAGTTTCTAAAAATAAACTAAACCAAACACTATAAACTTCTCTTCTTTTTTTTTAAATCTTTCTTCACTAATTTATAATTTTACGCAAATTTCTTTCAATTTTTATGTGAATTTAATAATCTAATTAAAAAATAGTGCATACATACAAAAATGTAACACTAAACTAACTATTTAATTATGAATAATTAACTTTCCATTGTCATCTGGATTATATTATTACAAAAGATTTCACATATTACTTTTGTGATATCTTATATATGTTAATATCTACATATACAAATATATAAAAATAAAATATAAATATAAATTTATATATGTTACTGTATTCATACATTTTCAATCTGTAATACTATATTACCATTGGATACTTTAATTTTCTAACATTTATCGCTTTAGTAATATAGTAATATTTGTTAGGAAAAAAACTGTGAAATTGTATATTACTCTCCTATCAACTTATATTTAATACATATATATATATGTCACACAAACAAGTGTCCATAACAAATTCTTTCAATAGCAAACGAAGATTTTGCAAAACACCTCTATTATGATAATAATTGTATTTTTTTTTCCTCACAGAAAAAATCATATTATTGAGGGAATATGAATTTTAAAATTCATAATAATATGATATCCTCTCAAACTCTTACTCATTAAAATATTTTTATTACAATGAGTTGTAATGGTGAGTAAGAAGAAAAATAAGAAGATTGTGAAATAAAAACTCCATAAGATCTATTGCAACATGTTCTCCAAGCAAAGTTAGACGAGCTAAAACATGAATTGTCCTATATTGTGAAGCTCAAGAAAAACAATGTACCTCGTGCATATATTTTAGTCAAATTACAAGGAAAAAAATTCAAATAATACCCAAATATTATCGCAGCAACTCAATGATAGAGAGAGTAAGTAGATAAAATAAAAAGTTTCGATCAATTTTTGTTGTATGCTAATTGCTTATAAATGCCATAATAAATTATGTAACTTGACAGTTTCATGAAAGTGACCTTGCAAACGCTTATAAGTATGGATTTATAAACATCGTTAAAACAATTTTGAAATTCTTATATCGATCGAAATATTAAACTACAATATCATTCAATTTTCTTGAAGAAAACTATTCCACATTTTATGCATAAATAAAAATATACTAATGATTAATGTTATATTTTTCATCATGCAAGATATTCGTAGCATATGAAACGAGACTCAACAACTCTTAATATATAAAAATATATTACATATTAATATAATGCATTCTTACACCAATAGTATGCAAATAATATGCAATAGTGGATTCAATGAATTTGTATTATAAGATGAACTATTAAACAAAATTCTGTAATTGTATAATTAATTTCATACTTTCAATTGTATTACAAGTACGGATTATGAAAAATTAAAGTAGGAAGTTGATAGAAAAAATTTGTGTAATACTATATATTTAAAGTACCTGCTTATTGTTTATTTTTAAGATAAGATTGTGATCTCAACACTCTAGCTATAAGTTAATATTTATATTTATAAAATTTCTCATTTATCATTTAAATTCGTCAACTGAGTATGTATTCGTTTCTTACTTAGTTCTATTTTGCATACAAATCAATTTACCGATAGAAATCTCCATACTTTATATACATATCACATATCAATTTAAGAAACATACATAATTATAATACTAATAGTTAATAAAAAATCATGTGTCGTACAATATACGTGCCCAACTACTAGTAAATAATAAACAAGCTAAACTTAGTCTACAACTGTTGTATCAATTTAAATTTTTTCATAAATATATATATAGAAGACAAGCATGAACTGGAAATATTTTTGCACCAACTATAAATTAGTGAGAAATAGGTTAAATATTTACAAGTGCAAATAAAA